TCAATGCCAGATGATACCTACCAGACTAACATGTACCCATTATAGTCATTCCACACACCACATATAGTTATCCTACTGCCTATAGTATTTGAGAAACGTCCTAATAATGTAACTTAACCTTGATCACTGATCCATGAAATGAGATCAGGTGAGTCCTGTCTGACAGACATGTAGACGTTGCAAGGAATCCATATACCAAATATAGTTATCCTATTACTATTAATAGGTGAGAAATTCACATTACAAAAAAAAACTTTAAATTTTTCCAAGTAATCACTGAACCATGAAAATGAGATCAAGGGCTTCGGAAATATGACAGACGGGTATATGCATACAAGATATGAAGCATCCAGGTCTTCTACCTTCTGAAATTTAAAGCTTTATACAAGTAGTTTAATTACGCCACCGCCGGATAGTAATACCTATGTTTCGCATACTGTCGCAGTCGAGACAATTTTAATCAAAGTACTGAAGTACTGAACATCGGATGACCGCAGGTTCTTGTGGATGGTCAAAAGCACATGTCACAGAAATAGATCATATCTCTATACCTGAAACTGAGGTTAATTTACAAAGATATATTTTTTTCTGATACAAGTTCGTGCATGGATGATGAATAAATGACAGGAAATTCAACCGCACCGTAATAAATATTATATTGTAGTGATACAAATCAGTATACCTGGGACTATTATACTAATATGATAATAGTGTCAGAGTATACACGTCTGGTTTGTTGTTATATATTATATTAATATTACGGTTGCATGTATATATAATTTTCATCTATTTATATATCATTCTATTCTACTATTCTAATTATAGTGCAGTGCAAGTGCATGGTGGACACTCTTCTGTAAAAAAATCGATTTTTCTAAAAGATTGGATATGAGAAGCCATTCATATTTTCCCGCAAAACAATAACAGAGTTATCGGTCCTTGCCGGGAGTGTCGCAAAACGTTCTTGAGATATTCTTCCGTAAGCTTTAACACAATTTTTCGGTACGTGTGCATTTATATCATCAATGATTTTTTACTTTTATATATATATAACTAACGACAACACATTTTCATATTATTAATTTGTGTTTTAATAAAAATATTTATAGGAGTATACATTGAAAAAATGAATTTGAAACAAGCGATAAGTAATGTTATTTTGCACTAGATAAGTGACCGCGGATCTATAATTTTTATAGATCGGTTGAAAACCCAAAACTAATTTGCATAATGGATATTTAGGCGATAGCAATACATCGATATGACCTCACGGTCATCGCGATGTTAAAATCTTGTTTTCTAGCAATTATATATTGGTGACTGCATGGACTTCGGAGGAGATTTCTTACGCATGCTACAGCAACGTCAGAAACTATTAAAAACACCATGATCGCGTACAAATATGACAATTAGAATAAATGTTGTGCCGAATTTTGATAGAGAAGACGATTTAAAGAAGCATTTTAGTCTTGTTTCAAACTAAATTGGCTAATCTCTTTATTTTTACAGAGGATGACCTTGAGGTCACTCCGATGTTTTGCTATCGCCTAAATTTCCATTATGCAAATTAGTTTTGGGATTTCAACCGATCTATAAAAGTTATAGATCCGCGGTCATTACAAGGGAAAAAAGTGCATTTTTATACCTGCGATTCCGTTCTCCGTTCGTACGATGTTTCATCAAAAAATGGAATCATTTCATTTGTTGATTTAGTACTGAAAATTTGACTGAATTATCTCCTTATTAAATACTGTTTTATATGTTTAATAGGTGTTTAAGAAAGAGGTCAGGTGCTCATGTTCATTCATAAAATTATCGTTCATTCATGAATTTATCGTAAAATCAAAATCACTACACAGGGTCACACAGGTTGTATACGTAGTCAAATGATTACCTGTATAGTATCTAAAAATAGACAAACTTAACTGACTCCCCTTACTGTAGTGTGTGATAACATTTTGTGAGGGAATTCGATGTTTGCTATACCACTGTTCATTTCAACGCACTTTATGACGATACCACTTTATCAATATGAATGAAATTTTTTGCAGTGTTTTAAGAAATAATTTTACTTTAAAATCGCGTATCATTTGTGAACTATTAAATGTTTTACAAGGACGAATTTTCTGTATAAAGTCAATAATTGTGTGAACTTTTGAAGCCCAAACTTTTTATAGCCTTAAATACGCTAATGAAAGATCCGAAAACTATACCCATACAGAACGACATATTTTTGAAATTGTAGCAAAACTTTTGGTTGACAAATTTTAATTCGTTATAATTGCATAAATATTAACTTGAAATATCTGTCATTTTCTCCCTACCCAGTTTACCTCTATTACTCATTATGATGTGGACTTGACATTGTTATTGAATCTTATGCAATTTGATTGGATTAAGTTATTATTAGATTACCTTCAAACTGTTCATGCTTTTTCGTACGAGTATATTGATTAAATCAGAGCGTGCATGAATGTGTACAGAAAATTAAATGACCTGCAAACTGGACACTGGACCAGTCCATATTATGTTTTATCAATGAATAGATTTTTTTTTTATTTCCCAAATTACAGGGCCCATAAAGGGCATAAAATCAGATACAATTGATTTACATTATTGGTAACAACAACAATAATAGCGGCATACAAATAGATATTTAGTATATAAGCATTGGTCAGAATCAGATGAATGAAACTTAAGGTATGAAAGGTAACAATTGCCACTTTTTATCTTTTCACATAATTTTCCACATACACATTAGATAAATTATTTTTGATAGCCTATTGCGGAGAAAAAAGAGAAAGTTTACTATATTAACGTTCTATTCCATTAAATACGCCATTTTTCGAAGATAAATGCAGAATAACATTTATGCACGGCTACGCCAGGTAAAATTGTTGTTTATCCTAAAAAAAAAATACAATTTTCAGTTTCATTAGAATATTATAATAATAATAAATCCCAAATTTATGTAGTCATTAGATAAAGTCCTTATATGTCCGATCTGCCTATTTTTGGACATCAAAAGACAATACGATCGTTTTAAGGTCAATTTCGTCTACCTCACACAATCTTGTTAGGCACTATAATGAAATGGACCTGAAATTTATTTCACATGTTTCCTGAAAATTGATAAATATCAAAGCAACATAGAGCTGTTTGTTCTAGTTCGTATAATGACAATTTAATGTCATGTTTGTTTGTGATGACCCCCCTTTTCGGGATTGCATCAGAATTATAGTTATCTCGTATCGCTTGAGGATGACACATGTCAACTGAGCAATTATGTTTGGGACTTAGTTTTAAGAAATGACGTCAAAGTAACATTATGAAAATATTTTTAGAAAGCTGAAATATATATTTATTTTTTACATGTTTATGTCTTGTAAGATATTTTATTTCTGTCCCGTTTTTCAACATTTGCGTCTGGAAAGTTGAAATGTTTTAACTGAATGGTTAATTTAAATTAATTATGAAAATGGTTAAAATTAAATCAATAAAGGAAATTATTGCCCAGTTACAAACACTACCAGGGGATAATCCATAACATGTTGTCTCCTTGTGAAATATAAAACATATTTAAAATGATTTCCTGCTAAAGTCTTATATTGATATAAAGTTAAAACCGTCTTGCTTCTCACTAGTCAACACTCCTGTCCTGTCAGGTTTAATTCTTATATATATGGATGAAAAATAAAAGTCCACAAAACATTAACATGGCAGCAATTGCTTTTACAGCCTTTAAGACTTTGATTTTTTTTACAGAAGAGTGTCCACCATGCACTTGCATTACACTATAACAATAGTAGAATAGTATGATATACAAATAGATGAAAATTATATATACATGCAACCGTAATATTAACATAATATATAACAACAAACCAGTGTATTCTTTGGAACTATTATTATATTAGTATAATAGTCTAAGGTATACTGATTTGTATCACTACATTATAATAGTTATTACGGTGAGGTTGAATTTCCTGTCATTTATTCATCATCCAAGCACGAACTTGTATAAGAAAAAAAAAATCTCTGTAAATTAACCTCAGTTTCAGGTATAGAGATGTGATCTGTTTCTGTGACATGTGCTTTTGACCATCCACAAGAACCTGCGGTCATCCGATGTTCAGTACTTCAGTACTTTGATTTATTTACACGATTTATATATAGTTATGGTTTTGACAAATTTATAATATCTATACTGAATCTTTGTAGTGTGTGGACAATAATTACGCTCATTGAAATCTGGGCAGTTTTAGCATACCAAACCACCTGAGTAATACCTTAGAGTAATATGTACACTCTACGAGTATGATTCAACGGAACATCTTCATCGTGGAAAGGAAAAGTAACAATGTAAAGTAACTTCATCCCGTTATACAATTTATTTTGCGATGAAAATACCGTAAGTAATTTGAAAATCCAGGATAACGACAGCTTCGTGTATATCAATGTTTGACTTATATTAGTAAGTAAAGAGTGAGTTTCATTTGGATGGATAAATTTTATTTACAAATTTAGACAAATCCTGACGGTTTCAACATCAATACCTATCATTAATTAAAATCTATTTAGTGATGTTTATTTGGGTATATGCCGATCAAAGATGAATCATAACAATAGAGACACAAGTCTGCAATGAGAGGGACACAACAAGCCTTTAATTTAATATTATAAAACAAGTCGTTGTCCATTCGTTCGATGTGTTTGTGCTTTTGATTTTGCCATTTGATTACTAGGGACTTTCCGTTTTGAATTTTCCTCGGAGTTCAGTATTTTTGTGATTTAACTTTTTTCTGTATGCATTTAGTTATTTCACATCTTATAAAACACTTTCAAGAATTTTTATTACTTGGAAAAGAAAAGGCATTGCACATATAAATCCGATTTTACTATCAGAATATTTTTGAAATCTCAGTTTTTCTCCGACTTCCAGTATCACTTTCTCCAAGTCATTTATATTATATAGTTAGTGTATAAAAACGAAAGTGAAAGTATGAAGTGCGCACCTTGGTCTGGCCTGATTTGATGTTAGTCCTGAAGCTAAGATGAGCAATGCTGAATTACGACAGAAAATATGTGAAAAGTGTATTCTGGTCAAAGGTTTCAACAGAGAAACTGCTTTTAATGATATAAGGCAGATTTTTACTAACGCCTGGAGAGGAACCAGAGCAACTCGGACAGCAAACTATGATTTCAAACATCAGGAATGGATAGTTCAGTTTTTTTCAACAGAAGGTAATGTTTCTGAGTTACATTTCATACAAAATAGAATTAATCTAAAACTTTGATTTATTCTAGATAAAAGAATATTTAATTTTTTTAATTTTTCTACTTTCGTTTTATCGTTAGATTAATTCGTTAAGGTGGCAGGTACCAGTTTTGGTGTACCAGAACATGTGTCCCACGTAAAGAAATTTGGTTATAGTTAAGCATTGAGGTATATAATTGCATCATGTGGACTGAAAAAATAAATGAATGTAAATTCTAGGCTATTGTACTACACAAGTAAGTAGTTGCATACACAGATTGGGGATTTCCTTCACAAATGGGTCCAATCAGAAGTCAAAATTGTGGTCTCCTCACTTGACGGCATCCAATCAAAGTGGGGAAAAACTTCAGTTTTATGTAATGCATTTATAAATTTTAAAATATCCATGCTGGACAGACACCCAAATTTAAAGGTTTTCTATATATTCACATAAGCACGCACACATCTTAGTTACTTGAATCCATACATTTTATTTGTATATAAGCTTGAATGAATTTTCAAGAAAATAAAATCATAAATCCATGAAATTCTAAAGATTTATTGTAAAATAACTGGTTTCTGCCACCTAACTTATATTATATATATATTAAAAATAAAGGAGAAATACAAAGTTTTACTCAAAATTAATATTTTAAATAAGAAAATATAATTTTCTCAATGCTTTCAATAAAAAATAGTCTTGTGGAACTTGAAATCTTATATTAATATCTATATATGTTGTATTGTACTTCCTGGATCTTTCATTATTGCCTCCTCCTTGATCTTTATCAGTTTTCGCTGAAATAATAATATATATACTCATACAGTCTGTCCATGCAGTTGACCATTACATTTAAAAAAAACTAATAATTAAACATTTTAATTACTTAATTCACAGCATTTTGAAGGGACTCCATTATACATGTACATGCTATAAGCACTTTTCAGAGGACCAAATAGGGATTGGAATTTAGCTTAAAAACCAGATAAATATCGTTTCATCTCGGCCTCTAGTAAGTGTTCTACAACTGATCGTTCAGTGCTTTTAACTAGTTCTTTAACTAATATCAGAGATCTTTTCATAAACTTTTTTAATAAAATATATGAAAATAGTGGAATTAACTATTTTTGAGTGTCAAAAATTCTTTGGATGTTTTAGATAAACTACATGCTTTTGATGGTCATTTTGATTCTGTTGAAAGTTTTGACTTTTCAACTCTTTACACTACACTTCCACACAATCTCATAAAAAAAATGTTTTCCTATTCAAATATAAAATGGTCTTTTGATAAATCTGAATGCAAATATATTTGCTGCAACTCATTTAAAGCCATCTTCTCTTATGAGAAAGGTAAATATACTAGATATACTTACTGGAGGTGTGATGAGATGATTGAAGCTGATATTTTTCTCCTTGGTAATATTTATATACGTTTCGGCAACAAAGTTTATCGACAGGGTGTATAGGTATTCCTATGGGCACTAATTGCGCTCCTTTAATAGCAGACTTGTTTTTGTACTGTTATGAATCACAGTTTATGACCAAACTCAGTAAAGACCCGTCTAAATTGCATTTAATTGATAAATTCAACAACACTTACCGTTATCTTGATTATATTTTTTCGTTAAATAATCAAGAAGTTTCTAAATATACTACCGAAATTTACCCAAAGGAATTAACTTTAAAAAAATCAAATGTAAACGGTAATAACAGTTACTGTCCTTTCCTATATTTAGATGTTTAAGTTTTACAAGGGAAACTCCACACGAAAATTTACGACTAGAGAGACGATTTTTTGTTCCATGTTGTTAATTTTCCCTTTTTGGATGGTGATGTTCCTTTGTCACTATCTTACGGTGTTTATATTTCACAACTCGTTCGCTATAATCGTGTCTGTTGTGACGTTTTGACATTAATGAACGTAATCTATGTATTACTGGTAAATTTTTTAGTCAGGGATTTCGTTACCACAAATTAATTAAAACCATTACTAAATTCTTCCACAGATATAAAGATTCGGTTTTGAAGTTTGGTTGTACCTGTACAAACGGGATAACACACCCTCATTTTTACAGAGATGTTGTTAACGTGCCCAGAAATTTAGAAACGATCCTGGTAAACTTATCGATCCTTTAAATAAAAAATTCTAAAAGGTTACCAATTCAACACTGTAATTAGATCTTTTAATATTGTTTTTATTGGTATTAATATTGATTTCGCTATCAGTAAATTAAATGCAAGCTAAATATTATTGTTATATACATTATTGAAGGCCGTACGGTGACCTATAGCTGTTAATTTCTGTGTAATTTGGTCTCTTGTGAAGAGTTGTCTCATAGGCAATCATACCACCAATGGCGTAATAAGGCCACTTTTAAGTGTACGTCCTAACCTTGGTGAGGGGTTCAAAGGCTCCAGCTGACCCAAGGCAGAGGACCTCCGGTTAGGGGACGAGACCCCTGGAAGCTCACGCGTTATCGTGAAAAGGATACCTTTTCAGTCACTCGAAATTCATCAATAGCAACATACTTGGTCGGTTGAGAACAAAACTTTACTATATAGAGATGATTTCAGTTTCCAAGTTGTGAACTTTCCATTTCTATGTAGCAACATTCCAGTAGAAACTGCATATGATAGATATAAGAAGATGTGGTAGGAGTGGCAATGAGACAATTCTCCATCCAAGTCACAATTTGTAAAAGTAAACCATTACAGGTCAAAGTACGGCCTTCAATACGGAGTCTTGCCTCACACGGAACAGCAAGCTATAACGGGTCCCAAAATGACTAGTGTAAAACCATTTAAACAACAAAACCAACAGTCTAATTTATATAAAACCGAGAAATAATTATGAACCACATCAACAAACGACAACCACTGAACATCAGGTTCCTGACTGACAGGTGCATGCATGAGGATATATCTCTCATTTGATACGATATTTCAGTACTTACATTTCCCATCAATAATTTCCTTTAATGAGGTTGCTACTTAGAATGAAGCTATTAAAACAACAACGCCGTGGCAAAAAAAAAAGAAATGGATGCTTCGGAAGGGTAAGCAGATCCTTTTCCACATGTGGCACTCAATGTGTTGCTCATATATAAATCCGCTATCACGAGTTGGGTGACTGTTTCACAGATGACGACGCACATATTTTATTGTTGTAACCACAATTCAAGCCTCTTTTCCTCGAATTTGACCTATCGAACTAGTTTCATCAATGATTTTTCTTACATGAGAAACACGACGGGTGCCACATTTGGAACAGGATATGCCTACCCTTCTTGAGCACACGAGTTCACCCCCGGTTTTAGGTATGGTTCGTCTTGCCTTGTCTTTAGTTTTCTATGTTGTGTGTTATGTTCTGTTATGTTCTGTTTGTTTTATCGACGTTTTACGTCTTATGAAATGGCATTGTCAGCTTGTTTTCAACTGATGAGTTTCAATATACCTTTGGTATCTTTAGCCTCTCTTTTAAAATCTTATTAGAGTTTTTGTCATGTTGATTTCATTGTATTGATTTTGAATCTAATTGTCCTTTGTTTTAGATACAAATGTCCAAACCAGTGATTTTAGAATATGTTTAAACGGAGATGTTGGGTAAACCAATCAATCGACAAAAAATCAAAACTTTATAAAAATATTTCACACCCTTTTTACGGGAAAATTTCGTTAATGGAAGCATGAAATAATTCATTTTCATATATATATATGGTGACCATCTATAAAATATAAAAATGCAAGCCACATACTAAATTGTTTTAAACAAAAGTAGTCTGAGTAGAATATTCACTGTAGGCAGTGAAGTTTGACAGAAAATGAACAAATATATAATATGATAGCATTTGATTAAAAAGTAAATTTCGTCACTTTTATGGCTTCAATTGTATTCTTTATTTTAAGTTCTATATGTTTAACATAGTCACCAAACTTTGAATTATTCATCCACAGGACATCATCTAGGCTAATGCAAGCTTCTTTTTTTGTTCTCTCTAAGAAGCTTCTGTATAAATTCAGCATCATGCAAATAAAGAAACAAATTGGAAAGAGGAGCACAGTTGGTTCTCATGGGAATGTCGATTGTTTTTTTTTCTTATATATAAAAACCCGTCTTCCAAACGTAACAACTGTGTTGTCAACTTGAAAAGCTATTTCTCAAGAATAAATTGATTGTAGAGTTGTTAATCGAAAAAAAATTATCAGGTGATTTTTTAAATGAAAAAAAAATACTTTATAAATTTCGTGTGTCCGAAGCGCTTTTCTTCGTTTACCTTCACCAGGAACGCTCAACCCTAAACACTTAAAAGCCAGAGAAGCGTAAATATTTTTCTATCATTGAGAGCTATATGAATTAATAGGGCCAAAACAAAATAGCCAAATTCATCTAACTTAAAAAGGTCAACTTAATACTATCACCTGCTGTATACATGTTCTTCACAAAATACTGAACAAACGTATGTTCGAACACCAGGCATGACATTTTCGTCAAATAAAAGAACAGATCAACTTCAGCACCGACGCCGTTACCATAGTTCAGCACCATTAACATTATCAAAAACTTGAATAAATCGCCAAATTTTTTATAGCTCTTGATACACTGACTAAATATATCTCTTTTGGGAAAAAATGGGCTGTTATATTGGTGAATGTTTAAAGAGATCAGGGCTGAATAGTGATGCTAGTAAATATATTTTTATAACGAATGCATATAATGTAGTTTTACTATGATTATTTAATTGTGCGTTCATAATTTATGTGGTTGATGGCTCTGATTCTTGACCGATGCTTATATTATATATTAAATATAATTGTACACTGTGTTGTTTATTTTTGTAATTATCAATTATGTAACTGATTTTTATTCCCTTTATGGGACCTCTAATTTGGGAAATAAACCTTGAATATTCTAATCTATTCTCATGATGTATCTTACGAATAAGTCACTTCCCATAAGGAGCACCATTGGGAGATAAAGTGTAAAGG